TTAGGCAAGACCCTTTGTGTGAGGTGCGCTTGCTACCTGAGACTCGTGGCTTGTGAATTCTGAACGGACGGTGACGGGGCTGGTGCGGCTCTGCGCATGGCTTGCGCACCGCGGTCAACCGGGTGCGTGCGTGCGTGCGGGCAGGCCTGCGAGCGGAGTCGTGCTTCGCTGCACAGCCTCATGACACTTCCAACCTTGGGTACAGGTGCGAAATCGGCCGAGAGAGTCCAGTGGCACAAATTTCCCCACGTGGCTAGCATCTGCTCCCAGCGGCCCAAGGTCGGTCGCTCAACAAGCCGCTAGGCTTAGGTCGACTGACCAGATAACGCCTACAAAGACGCAGGCGACAAAACAATCTCGACAAGCACTTTTGAGCTTACACACGCATACCGACCCTTGCCGATATCCTGCTCCACCGTAGGATAGTCAGCGCATGAGCGCATCGTCTCGCAGTCCTTAAGGGTCACGTGGCTCTTCACGCTCCAGCTCGATCGATCGCCGTCACAGTCTTGAGGCGACCTGCTCAGCAAACAAGCGCGTCCCACGATCCACCTCACGCAGCATCTCACACAACCTCTCTCCTGCCCTTCTCTACCAACGATTCGCTCTCTCGAAACGCCTCCTGACGCCGCAAATGCATGCATGCAGCCTCCAACGGCTTTCTTACGTGCGCCTCGCTCGAGCGCGCCCGCGCCTCTTGCGCTAGCTTGCACCTCCACCGTCTCCTCTCTCGCCGCCGACTGCCGCTAACACAACTCGAGTGTCCTGCGCGAAGAGCCTTCATGCCACGCGCAAGGACCTGCGCGTTCCTCCAACGGCCAACTTCCTCGATCCTTCTCCGCCTCGCGCACGCCTACTGCTCAACGATCCAAGCGCCCACAAGGCAGTGCACGAGCGCCGCTTAGCGCTATCCGCTTCACGATACAGCGCATACATGCGCGCTAGCTCCCTCGCGATTGAGAGAGCTCACGCGGGCCATCTACCTCGACATCGCTCGCGCTCGCACTTACGGCACCAGACACGCTTAGCAGAGCTCCTTCAAGGGCACATGCTCTGCATACATGCGACTTGGCGCAGGGCTAAGCTAAGATCAACAGCCTACTAGACGCCGGGCTGGGGAAAGGATGCAGGTGCTCCAAAATAGCTTTGCTCGTGCGGTCAGGCACCGCATGCAAGGCACGC